CTGCTGGAACCCCCAAACTGGGAACCCCAAACTGGGAACCCCAAACTGGAAACCCCAAACTGGGAACCCCAAACTGGGAACCCCAAACTGGGAACCCCAAACTGGGAGCCCCCAGACTGGGAACCCCAGACTGGGACCCCCGGAGCTGCCTCCCCGCCCTGGGGCGGTGCCAGGGGAGCCCCCCCTGCCTGGGGAGGGGTCAGGGCCGCTCTGCCCCCTGTGCCCGCCCCAAAAAGGGAAAAACCCCTCGGGTTTGGGTGAGCCAGGCCCAAAGCCCGGCCCAGCCATGCTGGAGCTGTTTGGGGTTTGGTTGAGCCAGGCCCAAAGCCCGGCCCAGCCAGGCCTGTCCCTGGCCATGGAGCTTTAGGGACAAATTTAGGCTGCAATAAACGCTCCCAGCTCCGTTAATGCCGAGGCCTCGCTGCCATAAACATCATTTCTGTTACATGACAAGATGAGAGGATACAATGAACCTGCAAGGAGAGCAGGAAAAAAAAAAAACCCTAAAATTAAAAAATGATTTTGTGGCCCCGTGCAAAGCTCTGGGCTGGGCGGCTCCTGGAGGCTGCAGCTCCAAACTGGGCCCAGGGGACAACGTGGCAAACTGGGGGGGCTGAGGAAATGCCCGGGTAACTGCAGCCGTGGGGCCAGCGAGCAGCTGTGGGGCTTGTGAAGGGAGCTGGGGCACGCAGGGAGGGCAGGGGGAGTCCGAGTCTTATTAAATATATTCAATATTGCAGCCCTGTAAATACATTCAATATTGCAGCCCTGTAAATACATTCAATATTGCAGCCCTGTAAATATATTCAATATTGCCTCAACAGGCCGGGTTCGATTCCCTAATGAAGGTTTAATTCCTTAATTAATGAGCGGAGCTGTCCCACTGCAGCATCTCCCGATTCCCAAATTCCCAGATCGATCCCACCAGGAAATCCTGGCTCCAGGAAATCCTGGCTCCAGGAATCCCTCTCTGCCTTCCAGCACATTCCAGAGGCAGCCCCAGCTCCCTCCTGCCCCATTCCTGCTCCCAGAAGGGGATTCGGGAATCGGGAATTGGGAATTCTCCTCCTGCCCTTGCAGGGAGTTGCTCAGGCTCGACCTTGGGCAGCATCTGTGTCTCGCTGGCTCAGCTGTGCCAGCGGGAGCCGAGCAGCCCAAAATATCCCGGATAACCCCCCTGCAGCCCTGGCAACCCAAACATGTTTACAGCCCCCAGCACACACACGGCTATTCCGGGTGCTCTCCGCGGGCCCCCGGCAGCTTCTCCCGGGCGGGAACGAGGGGAAAAGGAGGGGAAAAGGAGGGGGAAAGGAGGGGGAAAGGAGGGGGAAAGGAGGGGGAAA